CTATCAAAATGTAGTTACTAATGAGGAAAGTGTGATGAAATACATTGAAACCTGCTTGATTGCCTGGTGTAACTCGGGGGTGTTTCCAAGAATTGTGTTTCAACATTTCTATATTTTCTTTTGCAATCAAACAGGTTTAGATTTTTTAGGCGCACTTTTCTCAGTAGTGGCGAGTCTGATTTTGACTAAACCCGTTCCCCTGTACACTATACTTACAAAGAGTTGAATACTAGAGTGAGAAATTTAAAGCAATTTAAGAGAAATTTTATTCTTCAATGAGGAGACAATGTCCCAGAGACTATCCCTCGCTAAGGCACTGTCGAAAATGTTCTAGAATAAGATCTGTTGATATCATCAATTTCCTGACCCTCACCTCATCGTGGTGCGTGGGTGTACACTTTCGGATGGTCAGTGAGAGCAAAAGCGGAAGTTAGTCTCACTCAGCATGAAAATTTCCCCCCATTTTATTAGTTGTTTAAATTTAAGTTGATTTAGCTAGCCATGGCAGGCAGAGAGAATAAATAGAGGGAGGTAGGATTAAGATTCTGACTATAAGCAAACGGAGATCTACAGATAATCTGGCTAGCTGATGCTCTATACCAGGGGTGTCAAACTCGCTGCCCGAGATGAACATTTTGGCGGCCCAGTCAATAAATCCGATGCAAAGTAAAAATAAAACAGAAATGTGAATTCGAAAGCAAACCAGCATATAAAATTATAATATACTTTATTTATAAACTATACGGATCACTTTAAATTGTACACGCGAAAATGTAAGATTCTAATTGGCTTGCGGCATCTGCCATTCCAGGAATACTGCATCGTATCAAAAATACGCAGAAAAAATTTCAAATCTTAGAACAGAATTTGAAACAAGGTTTAGAGATTTCAATTCTTTGGAAGACAAATTTTGTTTGTTTTCTTCGATTTTCTCAATAAATGTAGACTCAGTACCCAGTAATATGCAAATGGAAGTGATTGAGATGCAATGCGACTCAAATTTGAACGCAAAATTCATTGAAGTGGGTGTGCCTGAATTTAACAAATATTTACCGTCAAGGTTTGAAAATAACTCGAAAATTGGCATAAGAAATTATTTCCATGTTTGGAAGTACTTATAAGTGCGAGCAATTATTTTCTGTTATGAATGGAAGTAAATCTCCAGTCCGAAACCGTATTAATAACGCTCACGTTGGGTCAATTTTGAAAGTAGTCTCGGCCAATAAAATTTCTCCCAAAATAGGAAAGATGGTAGCAGAGAAGAGATGTCAAGTATCAAACAATAATTTAACTTTATGTATGTTTATTACAATGTACTATTCGAAATAAAAATATCTGTTTCTATGAACATTGATTTTTCGTTTTTTTGCGGCTCACCTAAAGTTAAGCATTGTTTATTTGGCCCAAGTCAGCTTTTGAGTTTGACACCCCTGCTCTATACTGTTAAGAAGAGGTAACCAGATCCCCTGGAAAATTATTGAAGAAAGCCAGTGAAGGTGAAGGGGTTAAAAATTAACTCCAACATAAAAGAGCAAGTTGATATCGTATAAAAATGAACCAGCAGCTCATCCTCTTCAAGGAACACAAGGAAAAAAAGAGCAGAGTTACTGCGGAGTTAAATCTAAGCATAACTTGCCATCTTGAAAACTTGAAATTATTTGACCTCAACCGGGAAAATAAAAGTGCAAAATAAATAGAAGAAAGAGCGTTGAGGTTAGATAATTTTTAATTGCTTATTGTGACATTAACTAAGTTTCCTATTCAGGAAACTTACGATAATCTTACAGTAGACGAAGTAAACTGAATTTGGAGTAAGATCATTAACTATTTTTCTTAAAAGAGAGTCAGTATGTGTTTAAAACTTACGAGCCTCAGTAACATTTGATACGTTTGGTAAGTTTGCAATAATAATCAATTTGCAATAATTGGAAATAATTATCATTAAATTATCAACAAAGGATGTGTATAATTTAATAATAATTATGTATTATTATTAAAATCTTACGGGTAAAAGTTATAGTACGATCTAAAACTACTTATATTCATTAAAGAAAAAAAGAAATTCTCTAGCACAATTAGCAATGAATTTCTTAATGGAGGTTGTTTTCCCTTTAATAATATTCATTTGATTGTTCGATTCGATGAGTCAGTCTAATAAAATATCTGTCAAAATGACTTGAGTTAATTTTCGAGTTGATATAACAGTCTCGCTCTTTTCTCTAAAAACTGAATTAGCTTTTTTGTTCGTTCTTTTACAGATTGAAATTCCTTCTATAGAAATTTTTAAATTAATATAAAAGCGTCATTAAAATATTATCAATATGCAATAACAAATGCATTTTCTGACAGTTCTGGCATTCGTGTTACCATCTTTACCCAAGCAAATAGTCATCATCACCGTGATGACCACTGTGTATCGTATGATTTTAAAAATTAGAACAAAAATGAACTAGGTAACAATTAATTCAAAAGTTTGCAGCGAAAATCTAATTTTAGTCAGAGTTGGATCGAAAACTTAGGGAGAAGTTGGTCAATTTGATCTAGGAGTCCTCTCAACACAACTCGAATGTTTAAACCGAAATTTATTCAGTTAATTTATATTTAATAAAATCGTTACACATAATTCCATATCTATCCATATCTATAAAAAGGGGCCAATCTGGCTAAAAAGGGGCCAATTTGGCTAAAAAGGGACCAATTTGGCTAAAAAGGGGCCAATATGACTAAAAAGGAGCCAATCTGGCTAAAAAGGGGCCAATCAACCAATCTGGCTAGGGAGAAATGTGTATATAGAAAAATGAATACTTAGGACCTTCCGTCTTATATAGTGTCTTATTGATTTATTTTCCATGCCCATGAGACGATAACTAACCAACATAATTCAAATGAGTTTTCGATATGATTAGAAGTTAAAATCAGTATTATTAGTTAAAATTAGTTTTTTATTGTTACCATTTATTTAGCAAAAGAATAATTGATAATATGCTAACTATCTCAAAGTTATCATTTCAACTTTGATGTCCACTAACACCTAATATAAATAAGGAATAATGATCCTCTAAATTATAATCCCACCCAAATTTCTTTATTTATAAATAATATATATTTGTTAGTATTTCCTTCTTTAGAGACTTACATTATATTGTAATGCACTAAATCTGACAGCATTTGTATGTTTCTCATTTAAATACAACTTGTGACAAAAATAATAAAAAAAAATACAAAAATCAGAATTTTAGAAGCACCCTTAATTTATTTCTATATATTTATTTTAATAATTAGGAGGCTTTGCCCCTTGCTCACTCCATTTACCAACCCTCGTGGATTAATCTTAGTTTTTTCTCCCAGAATATGTAATAAACATTAATTGTTTTGATTATATAATTAGCTTTTATTTAAATAATCTTAAAATAATTTTTTTAATTACCTGACCGCGCTTATTTCGCGGAGCTATTTGACTAAATTTTAACATTTAAAAAAAATTTATTATTTACGCTACCATGTATATTATTTTTTTCATTAATGCACTAATCAATTTTTTTAGTACTTTAATTTAGGTTTTCCTTTAAAGCAAAATTCTTTTTTAAATTATACTGTCAAGTTTTTATTAAAAGAAAACTAAGAATTATTGCCTGATAGCTGAGTATTAAACCTTGTTAAGAAATTAAAAACAATCTGCTGCTTAAAATTATTTGGTGCAAAACAGCTCTTCATACTAAGCATACTATTTTTTTGAAAAATGAAGATAAATTATAGAGAAGAACACTGTAAGTGAAATGTAACGCTTTTGCTTTTGTATATACAGAAAGATTATTGCTGATTTTTTTTCTTCTTTTTTTTACTTTTGATTTAATGTTAGTAGATAACATTCAGGAGCCTAGCCTTTTCTAGCAATACAATATTATATTGAAACTAACTGATCGCTTCTATGTTAAATCTACCTGATGTTAAATGATTTCGTTGTGTTTCCCGAGAATTCCATCTAGATTGAATCCTCTAGAGTCTAGATCAGTGGTTTCCAACTGGCGGCTCGGGGACCGCATCCGGCACGCGAAGCCTTTTTTTGTGGCCCGCGAACTAAAATATATTAGTTCTCATTTTTTTGTGGACAATTTTCGTAAAAAATCTATATGGGTTTAAAATATTTTTCTCGGAAATAAAAACCTAATTTCTTCGTTTCTGTGAAATGTATCATACCAACGGTGCAAAAAAAATTATTTCTCAGGTTTTGCATCCAAGAAAATATTTATTCAAATACAAAAATAATCGCGAATGTTGCTCTTTTTTATTTCATTTTTTTACATTTTGTGAATATAATTTAGCATGTGTGTATCAGGAATTTCTCGAAGAAATTCTCCGATTTTACTTTTTGAAGGCACTCATTTTGGACGAAAATATTTACACACACATTTGTAAATTTAAAATGTAAATATCTATTCTCTGGTGGTTGCGGCAGACAAAGCTCAATTTTGTCATTGAATATTTTGTGTGCCACTATGTAAGTTTTAATACCAACCTTTTTAAAGTTTAATATCTTAACAATTAGATATCTGTTGCACATTAATTGTTTAATACATGGGTGCAGATTTAAGTTATTGTAGTCCGATTTTTTTAATATGCAATTAAATATTTTCAAAAATCTANGAATTCGAATCGACCAGCGATTGCTGGGCCATTTGATTTGTGTTTTTAATTGTGGCCCCCGGCCTCATGTAAGTTGGAAACCCCTGCTCTAGATGGATATAAGAGCTCATATATTTTTTTAATAAATTTTCAGAAATCCGCCCAAATCACATTCGAAAATGGAAAAAAAATCATTAGAGAAAAAAACTATATTGAGAAAACTTATTATTCAATTTACTCAATTCAATGAGTTTAGGGATAAAAACTAGCATGATACTGAACTTTAATAGAAAAATGAAAAACATTTATTTTAAAAATCTTAAAACAAAGAATCACAAATAGAAAAACTTATTCGATAATAAATATCAGAAATACTTATGACATTTTCAAAAACATAACACATTAAGGAAGTATCCAACGTCGTTTACCTCAACAACTTCCTACACCCGAAATACAATTAGAAAAACTAATTCTCACTTGGCTCTTAAAACTGCCGAAGGTAAGAGGTCTGTTCTCAACATTTTATCAGAGGTGAGTCATTAAGTTTTTCCTGACCATTCCTATTAATAAATTAATACTTATAAACGCAAATATTGGTCGTTTTATGCATAATTGAGACAGGGTTAAGTCTCACATTTCATTGTCAACAACAATACAATGTGACATCGCTAAGTCATTTGTTACTATGTTAATTTTAGGCAATTTATGGCGGTAAAAGCTTTTTGGAATAATGAAATGAGGCAAAAAAAAAGAGGTAAACCTCTATATGATATTATTGTTGTGAAATTTAGTTTCTAAATTTGTTTAGTGGTCTTAATATCTTTTTCAACTAAGAAAAATTTTTTAAAAAAAATTATTAATTTTTAATAAAAAAATATCCTTTCCTGAAATAGTATTTATTTCCAAATGCATTTAGAATTTATTTAAAGTTTAATTTAAAAATAGTAATAATAATATTTTAATTTCAAAATCAAATTAATTTCCCAATTACCTACTTATAATTGGTATAGGTTACCTACTATTATAATTGGTATAGGTATTGGTTACCTACTTATAATTACCTACTATAATTGGTATTTTTAAAAGTTATTTAAAAATAGGAAGAACTATTTTTTGTTCCGTGTTTACTTATGACTCCTATTTCAACATTGTTTAGTTTTAATGTTGTTTAACTTTAATATTGCTTAATTTTTACAGCTCTCATCAGAAGGATCTAAAATGGTTATTCGATTTATTTACGAATATTTAGAAGATTTCTTAATCGACAACACAAGTAAATATGAATTTTCATTACTCCTAGACTAACGATTTCTCTTTATTATTTGTATTTAATTATCACTAGATTTTAATTCAGTTCAGAAAAAAGAAGTACACTAAATGTAGAAATATTTCAACCTCGTCTTTTAGAGGGGGCCGGTGTCTTTCATTGGCCATTTAAATTATAAATACAATTAATATGACATAAAAAGCATCCCCGCAACAGCCTCATAAGAGCCAAGGGGTCATAGATGTTAAGGCTTCCCGATTTCGTGACCAGCGGCATAATTGTGGTAATGTGGTCAGTAATAAAGGCTTCACGATTTCGTGACCAGCGGCACAATTGTGGTAATGTGGTCAGTAATGAGATCGGTCGTCTTCACTTCCCAGACTAGCTGGAATACATCGATCTTATATTAGGAGTGAATCAAGTGGTATCCTTAACCTCAGTCCATCGCAACAACAACTCAAAGCTTTTTTCCACTAAGCTTAAAACCTTAACCCTAATTTGGACATTTTCGAAGCTCCTTGTCATAACTTTCTTTTCGATATAGCAAATTTAGTTTAAATTTCGAAAATGGTATATTGTTGACGAGGTAAGAAGTGCTTTATAACGATTTTGTTTTTCACATGACGATTCTTATGTCTTAAAATGACAGGTCTTCAAATGACGATTCTTAAACACAAATAGCAAATCAGGTAACAAATACTCGTATACAAGAAATACTTAAGAGAAGTCTCAAAGCACAATTATCACGCTGTGGGTTAAATGGCTTCAAAATACACAGAAAAGAGTAACCCGAAAATATATGCAATAGAGAGACCTTGAAACGCAGCCTAGTATAGAAAACACCATCCATATGGATGTTTACTTTACGAAACTAAACTAGATCAGCTAACTTCTGGTTGCTAATGTGCAACAGTGAGTATTTCTTCCAGTTAAACACTACAAAATCTGCATGTAATATCATATGCTGCCTGATAACAAGAGTAAATGGTCAATATTCACTCCTGATGCTATTTACTGGCAATTAAACGATCAAAAGGTTCGACTAACTTTATTCTATTGGCAAACATTTTTCCATTCAACCATGACGGTTAGCCACTTACGTGGAATGTTGCAACAATGAGTATTTCTTCCAGTTAAACACTACAAAATCCGCATGTAATATCATATGCTGCCTGCTAACAAGAGTGAATGGGCAATATTCACTCCTGATGCTGTTTATACTGGCAATTAAATGATCAGAAGGTTCGACAAACTTTAAGTCTGTGGGCAAACGTTTTTCCATTCAACCGTGATGGTTAGCCGCTTACGTGGAATGAAATAGAGAGTTTAAACTAGCTACGCTGTAATAGAAGTGAGGCAATCAGATCGTTATCCGAAATCTACTACAGTGAAATTCGGTAATAATGACAATTCATAATAGCATAGGAAACTTTTCTTACAGCGAGTTTGTTGGTTGATTGTTTGTAGTGTTATGGACATGGGAAATAAATCAATAATCAATAAATAAGACATTATATGGGACAGAAGAACAAGCTTGTTGTCATAAACAAATGCGCACATTAAATATTTAAATAGCAATATAAAAGACTGGAGACTAAGAGTATGTAATGGCTTTTGGCCCTTTAAATAACACTGAATGATAATTTTATTATTGAGCTGTCAAGAGGGTGAATAAGGGAACAGGTTTGCTGTCAACAAAAGGTGCATGCTTTTGAAGTGGGCGGCAGGGTTACTAGAAATGGCAGAATTTTTCGTTTGTTAGAAAAAAAATGACTTGGGTGGTGAATTTCCAAGCACGTTTGCTTCGTAAACGCAAGAGAAATTTTTTTTATTAAAATAAAAGGAAAATGGTGTTCGTTTATCACTGTTCGATATTAATGCCAGAAATAAATAAAAATTTCTTCATTTTGCACTTTAATTTTTGGATTTAAAAAAAAAAAATTTCCCAATTGTGGGAGAGGTGTGTAATTTTCAACTCGTTATAAGCATACAGTTTTTGTATCTTTAATATTACTATTTCAACGATGACTCGGAAACTTGTAATCGGAGACTTTTTGTTTCGGAGATGCCGTACTCGTTATACGAACTTTACTTGGAAATAAATTGTTCATGCCTGTATTTGTGTAAAGTAAGAAATACATAGTGAAATAATTGAAATCCTTGTGAAAGAATCTTTGTGTAAGAATATGGAAGTCACTTGCGAGAATTAACACTTGATGGGCTTGACTTGCTCGAAATAGAATGGAAAGAACAGCTGCTAACGTAAACAAATGCCATTCAACTATAATTCAACATTTCAACTATAATTCAGGATCGAGATACCCACACTACGTCATTTGCAGGCATCCCATTACAATAATTTGTTATTTGTGTCATTTTTCCCTTTCATCATCAGCATTGGCATGACAACCCTTTGTGAGCCTGCGCCTTCCTCAGAAGCTTTTCCCATTCTGCCCTTCTCCCAGCAATTGTTTTCCAGTTCTTTACTTTTAGGATGGCAAAATCCTCATCTACACAGTCCTTCCATCTCTTTTTGGGCCCCTTTACCTATTATATTATCTATGAAAAGGTACGTTATTTATTAAGGGTAAAATTGTGTTAATTATATCAAATATTTTCAGATCCAGTCGTATTGACTTGGCCTTTAGTCGGCAATGCGGTGCTTAATTTTGGCATAGTTGGATTTTATCTTCTATTTGTTCTTTGGTTGGGACCTCTGTATATGAAATATCGGAAACCATTTGATTTAAGAAGGATAATGGTGCCTTACAATGCAGCTTTAGTTGTCACAAATGCCATCATTTTCTACCACGTAAGTTATCTTATATATTTAAAAATGTTCTGTTCCATGAAAAAATTGGTTTAAATGAAGTAATTAGCTATTTCCATAGAGAAAATATAATCAAAAGATGATCGTACGTCATAGGTAAAAAAAAAACTCTGAAGTTTGTTTTATTTCATAAACGCTTCGATGTGCGGGAAAAAAAAAGCTTCGTACACGGCAAGTTGAAGAAAACCTCTGTTATAGAGCATGATTGATTTCATTATTCATTGATTAAGTGAAACTTAAGGTGCGTTCGTTTGTGATTTATTACGCTGGGACGTGAGGAAGTAATTTCCCAAACAACTACGTAATTATAACAGTTTGCCATTACTTACGATGTTCAAGCTTTGTACAGTGAGCAAAACAAAAACATGTTTTTTCCTGCTTTTCTCACTAGACGATTTCGTCACATTACAGTGAGGAAAATCACAAACAAATAATTGCACGTTTTAAACGTTTTTCTTTTTTCTTACTTTTTCATTCATTAATGTCAAGTTCAAAGGTGCTCCAAAACACTCACTTAATAATTCATTTCTTTTCGTATCTCGAATTGTATTTAAATTCGAAACTCTCATTCGTCATTTTTTTTTCACCAGGCCGAGCAGTATTTCCTCCCCCTTTTTTTATTGGGCACAGCCACTTTACTGTACCAAGTCACCATATTAACTGCAGCTGCAATTAGTAAAAAAATCAAGAGAGGGGATGTGGACCTTATTGGACAACCCATGCAATACAACTGAAAATCTGTTCTTATGTGTACATGAACTCCAGTAACTTGAGAGAGCAACCGATTGAGAGTGCTTTCTTTTCTGTTGTTAGCAAATATTTATCAGGTAGTTATTGTAAAAAACCAATTTTCCTTTGAGACTTAGTTTGAGCGTATTACTTAAAATCAGTTGGTTAACTTCAATGTTACAAATTGAACTTTCTAAATAACATTTGACGATCGTCATTGATAGATATGGCTTTTTAATTAAAAGATTGCTAAAATTTCTTAGATCCGTTTCCAATTTTCCTCACTCCTCTCATACAATATTGAAAAAGAGTATTTTTTGATGTTTCCATGCGTGTTGCTGTTATGGAAACAGTATCGTTACAAAATGACTGATTTCTTTACTTTCAAAAGAAATAGGAACAGACGAAATCTAGAAAGAAAATGAAGTAACTGCTTATACCTCCCTTAACTCAAAGATAAAAGTAAATATTCCTAAGGGTTTTTCACTTCCTGTAGGTTTGTGTAAACAAAACCTTAATCTAATAATCATATTTCGATGGAAAATTCTACGATAGTCTAAACTTACTTATTCAAAAGAAGAATATCAACGAAAGCTGGAATATCCAATCAACTTGCGAAATGGTATTTGAACATATTTGATTTATTCCAGTTTTACTGGGTAACATTTTACATCGATCTGTATTTAATAAACTGTCTTCAGATTCATCAATAAGTCGAACATAATGTTGGTTATCCAAATTCGTCGAAATTCTATTTTTCAGCATATGACAACGATATTAATTACATATTAATTAATATCACTTACTAATTATTAATAAATCAAACATATTACTTAAATACATAATAATATAAATACTTAAAACATATAATTAATATAACTTAGTAATTATGTAATAAATCAAACATAAAAAAAGCTATCTTAATTCGATTAATTTTTAAATTCTAAGAAACTCAAAAATTAGTAGTATTCGATGAACTACAATTTGATTTTATGCAGACTTTACCAATTTTCATTTCCACTATTAGTAAAGAACCAGTATTTTTCAGAAGAGAACCAGTATTTTCATTTTCCCCAGGGAAAAAATTATTCAGAACCTTTCAATCCCTTCAAGACCGTGATTGCATGATTCTCCCTTCACATTTCTCGTTATGATATATGGATGGTGTTTTCAATAGAATTGTAAACAATAACAATCTCGAGCTCGGCACCTACTCTTGTTCCGGTTAAAAAGTTTGCAGCTGCTTATTACATGTTATTCTGATACAGGGCTAAAGAGAATAGAAGGGCTAGTTCACTCCTTTGAAGTATCTCGCGCCTCGCCGATCCTCCGACGTCACTCTAGTGACGTTACTTTGGCGCAAAGCTCGCACTTTTACTTCAAGAACGGAGCGTTTGGCCTTACTAGCTCTAACTAATATTGGATCATTTCTTTTCGCGAGTTATTCTAAGACATTTGCTATTTTCTATAATGACTTTCCCCAGTTTTTGCAGTGAATTTACAAGAATTTAAAACTATTATCGAAATGCCAGTTAGCGCNTCTCAAAACACAATGATGCCAAATGGCTTTAAAATACAACTGAAACAGTAACCCGGAAATTTAGGCAGTCCCGAGCTTGCAGCGTTTCCTAGTGTAGAAAACACCATCCATAGTCCCTGTATAAAACGATTGACCTAGTGACTACTAGACTTGTGGTCCAGGATCACACGGACGTTGTCTACACTCGCATTGCGTCTTGTATTAGTAAGTGCATATACCCTTTAGTACACATAAATTTGAATTGTGCGGGCATGGGGAAACATTTTTTTCACCGGTCCTGATACGGTTAATGTCGATTACACAACTTCTGTGCAGGTCGTCGGGCTACCGAAGCGGGGGTGCCGTCCCCTCTGCAGAGGATCAAAATTGTGATGGAATGTCTTCGGATCATCCTCAAGGATGTTTCCCAGACCGTCGTCAATAGCCCATTGTGCAGCTCTAGTGCGACGTAAATGAACAACAAAGCAATTTCTGCGAAAAGAGTTCTGAAGAAAATTTTTCCCAAAAGTTCCCTACATTTCTTGTCCTTCATCAAGAAAAAGGGAGGGGTGTTAAGAAGAGGGAGTTGCTTGACAACTTGTTCACCCTAATTTAAAAGCGAAGCTGATGCAGAAGTAAAAATTAATGTAATGCAAAAAAACACAGCTATTTGCAATATAACTTCTGCATATTTAATGTTGTAGAAATGAAAAGAAAATTCAGAAAATGAAATTAAAGTTCACTATAAACTAACTACCAACTTCAGGTCTCAAAGTGGGCAAAAGAAAAAAATCAGAACAACATTAAGAAAAAAAGAAAAAAGATAGGACAAAATCAGAGCATTTTTTAGAACAGTATACATACGCCATGACCATAACTTTCTCATACAAATTTTTAAGCTCAATAAAAATTATATAAGCATTACTGCAGTTCCAATTCCTTTCAAACAATTTAGTGTATATATAAGCTATTGCAGGCTTATATGTTTCACTATTTATAATTTTTCCTTACTTAGGTAGTATGAAAGAAATTAAAAGAAATTATGATAAAAATAAATTAGTCAAAAGACAGGCAACACTTTAAGAGACTTGCAAGACCTGGGGATAAAGAGAGATTTCATTTACAGAACTATCGGAAGGTTTAATGAGATAGCCTCAGTCGACGGCCGAAAAAGACCTGGCAGACCATGGTCTGTTATGACAAAAGAGACTGTGAAAAGGTTCAGGGAAAGGATACAAATGATCTGCAAGCAAGTTATCCCGAGAGTTCAAAATATCAAGGGGATCAATGCTGAACCTCGGTGTGCTAAGTTTATCAAAAGAGCGAAATTCATAGATTTTCAGAATCTGTTAAGATAAAAAGGCAGCTAAAGTGTGCATGGAAGAAATTCTTGTCTGGAACGCTGGGGATGAGTTTGTCGCTTCAGAGGAAATATTATTTGTTTTGCTGCAAAGTCTCAACCCCCAAAATGATAAAATATGGTCAGTTTCTAATGGCAACAGTGGTCCCTGAGAGCCAGCATTATGTTCCGTGTTATCAAAATGCTTTGCCTGTTGGTGGCTATTTCAAAAAAAGACAAATACCTGTTAGTTTCAGTTGTAAATGGAGTAAAAATCTATGCCCAGTATTATGAAACTGAGGTTTTGGATAAAATTTTACTCCCGAGTGTCCAAAGTATGTATGGGGTGAAATATTTCTACAACGAACAGGATGGTGCTGTGCGTCGTATGGTTTAGGAGTGGTGTAGCAAATATTTAGCTTGCTTTTTGTTGAAGATTGAATAACCACGCAACTCCCCCAATCTGAACTATTTTGTTTGTTCATATGTATGGTCTCTTAGCTTAATAATTATAAAATCATCAATTTGAGCAAAGTGAAAAATGTAACTGAAAAGATATGGCAGTAAATGCCAAATGAAACTGTACGCGCCGCATGTGATGAACCTGAAAAGAGAGTTCAGATAATGATTCCTGTGGGTAAGGCTCAATACCTGAAACTATCTCTATGATCAGTAGACGACCAAAAATTAAAGCAATTGAATTCTGTGATTCCTACCAGCATTATTAGCTTTAAAAAAATTATTGAATCAAAAATCCAAATATTTCGATTCTTCAAATCTACTTTTTAAAAATCGGCATTTGCTATACTTAGAAAATGGTATATTCTGAACGCACTCAATTAGGATTATCAGAACAAAAAGCTGAAAATCAGGGCAAGTAAGGACAGCATATTTGTTATCAGGAAAATCGAGTATATCAAAATGACTACGAACCCAGTAATTTTTAAGCTTTATGGAATAAGCGTGTAAAATAATGTCAGTTAAATGGGAGTTCAGAGGAAATCGTCAAAAAAAGTTCAAGACAACTGAGTGTTCACTATAGCCCAGGTTCATAAGACGCATTTGCATTTTAAGAATGTATATTATATAAAACGCTAATACGTATGTATCAATAAAATCGATGATATTTCTTTTCTCGCGTTGGCAACAGTTTCCATTTTTAATTATAGGCTTCGGAGCGCAAGAGCACGTAGTGAGCATATCACATGTCTAATCGGGTGAATTCTCACCAAATTATCAAAAACATTCTCACAAAATTATTTTCATTGAAGCCGATGCTTTACATCCGGCGTTCAGTACTATTTCATATTGTTTTACAACACATGGTTTTAGCCCTCTGGTGGGAAAGACTTTAAAACAAAACTTACAACAGTTACTTTTCTCAACAACTGAAATTTAGAATAGTTTGATTAAGAAAAATATGTGAACTGTTTGCAATTTCAAATTAATATTGAAATGCACAGGTTTAGAATTTTCTACAGTGAAAAGTTTTCGGAACTTCAGTGTTCAAAAAAGTATACAAAAGCTAGACGATAAGAACCTATCCAATGAGCGAGCAAAGCGAGCATCGGATTGCGAAGCAATCCGAAATGAACTGCGAAAGCAGTTCCGGGGGTTGGCGAGCGCCAGCGAGCAGGGGGCGAAGCGTCCTAGTCATTTATAGTTTTCATATTTTTATCCAATTGAGTCATGGTTGTTGCCAATGAAAAAAAAGCAGCTTTTTTTCGTGGTTATTTTAGATTTTTACGCTTATCGATATTCTTTTTTTATTCCTACATAAGTTAATTTTAAAATGTGTATTGAATAAGGAAAAATCGATAAAATTTTACTGCTGAGTTTTTTAAGTTAATAGATATTAAATTGGCTGCGTCTCAAATCTTGATTTTCTTTACAGGCTGAAAAAATTATAGTAGTGAGAATTACTTTCATCTAGGCTTGATTGAAAAAAAAAATGTAGTTCACGAAGCGGGCTATTAACAATTGTTCATTTACTTTTAAATTTTTAAATGCGTCATCGTATGTTTCTTAGCATACGTGTTTTTCCTAGTCAAGTATAGAGGCTTGACTAGATCATGTGTCCAGACGTAAGATTACAAAACAGCAAACATGCAGTTCTACTACTTCAAATCTGAGTTGCCTCTAATTGGAATTTAATTGCCGCTTCTCTTTCAAAGTTTAGCAAGGAAGAAAATGCGTTGTATTTCAATCACTGATACTATATTGCTCGGTAGTCCCTGCATTGATGTATTTCTTTTTAAATTTAAGGGCCATTGACCGGGATGCTATTGTCTATTATTCCTAACATTGATGTTTTTTACTATAAAGTGCCTGTGCCTTGCATGCACTTACTTGGTGTTCCTTACATTCAGGACTTATTTTGCATGGAAACTCATCTCCTGTACTTCTTTTTCAGAGGAAATTAGAATACTATTAATATTGATAAATAACATATCAGGCGGGGGAGTTTGTCATCTGATTATCAATCTCTATTAAACAAAGATGACAAAACATGTTTTCATTTGTAGTTAGGGAATGCAATTTTTGTTAGTAGTGGTAAACTTTAAGGTAAGCTACAATCATTATGTTGCTAACGTACTTAAAAAGGTAAATTAATTCTTACAAAGTAACGCCAATAACTGAGTACTATAATTACTAAAATAACTTAGAAATGCGAGTTATGAGGGTTGCAATTACAATAGTAACGTACCAAACGAGTACAATGATTGCAGAAGTAGCTGATGTATTTAAATTTACAGAGGTAATGACTCGCTCTGGCACTTATGTAAATTTTTTTATATTTTATAGTATGCAAAAATTAGATACAGTGGTAAAGCAAAAGTGAGCTGTGAGGTACTTGAACGACTTGATGATCGACCAGATGTATATAAAGTAAGTATGCTTTAATACATGTGTTCTTTAAATTAAAAATTCGTAATGGCCGTCGCCAACGCCACTGTTTGGGTGTTCAGCTGAACGTTGCATTTTGCTTTACTGCGCAAAAACAATATAACTAAAACTATAGACTCTGAAACTTGAAAATACTAACGCTTGTAGATAAATGTGCAGGAATTACGATGAAATAAAAAAAATTAACTTTCGATAACTTGTTCGAGAATGTTTTAACTAACTGTTAAACTTGTTAAAAAAATACACAGACTTTAACTACAGTTTATTTTGCCAGTATGTATAGTTTGTCTAAAATAAGAACTCCCCTTCGTCTGGACCCGTGGTGGTGACTATGGCAACAAGGTATAATTTTTTCAAGTAGGGGTGTGGGGTCATTGTTTCGGACACGTTTTGGCTGAGGTCGGCGAGAGAGAGAGAGAGGGGGAATCTTTTTCTTCGGTTTATTGTGTTATTCCTAGAGAGAAGAGAAGCTGCCCTTCCTAAAATATGCTATTCTTGTTTTCACCGCAGCAGACGACCTCAGACTTTGTGTGCGGGAGGAGTTCTTACCATAGACAAACTATACATGCTGCAGTCAGTGTCTGATTCCAATTGACAGTCAATTTCGGATCTGAGTTCTTCACTTGTTGGTTCCAGGAAATGATTTCTGTCATTTACCTCTTCTATGTCATTATTTCTTACAACCAGGCTACAGCATTCCCTTATTTTTAACAATTTCTAGAAATTCAAGTTATTCAAACTCGAACTCAGTAATATATCTGAGGTCCATTTTGTTTGCTTAGAATGGATTAAACGGGGATAACCAGCGCTGGTAAATGCGGCTGTGTGTTTTAGAAACTTAGAATTAAGAAAGTGTGTAGGAAAATGTACAGAGAATATGATAAAGTAAGGAAATTTAACACTCGATAGTTAGAAAATTATTTACTGTTAAACTTGTCGGGGAAAAATGCCAGACAGACCACACCACTGGCAGCAAGAATGCAACTACAGGGTTTTTTGTTCTTTTTTTCGAAATTCCAATTTGTTCGAAAGTTATTGCGATTTTAAGTGCTATTTTTGCGATTTTTTCCTCATTTTTGTATTATTTCAATATTATTATTTATTTATTTATTGTTGCTTTACGATAGCTTTACTGTGCAAAATCCATAAGACTTAGAAACTTGAAATTAAGAAGGTGTGTAGTAAAGTGTAAAATGAGCTCGATGGAATAAAAATAAGTACGATTCGATTGTTAGTTCAATAATAATTATCTACTAAACTTGAAGTAAAAAAAACCCATCTTTGTCTATCCATTGAAATACAACAGAGATGAAATGCAATGTGCTGATAGGATCATTTTGTATTAAAATTTTAATGAGAGTTCTTAAGAAATTTCCCTTTGTTCCAAAGTTATTGCAAATTTAGACGCTTATTCGTGATATTTTTTGCTTTAAATATTGACTATTTATTCATTGTTCTGAAAAATTATTTTCCTTCACGAGATCTTTATTTCTTTATTTTATAATTTCGTGCTCGAGTAGATGTCAATCTGAAGTAGCAAAAAATTGAAGGAGAGAGAGATTACGTGTTGTCAGTTAAAAATCTTAACATTTATAAGAAAAAATTATAAAAAATTTATAAAAAGAGCGATGAGATCCATTTCGTATTTGAATTCTAAGTTTTGTAGCTGTCCGGTCTTTTGTAGCTGACTGCCCTTGCATCAGAAAGGTTCTGGGTTCGAATCCAGGGCAAGGCATGGATGTTCTTTCCTTCTCTGTACTATCTGTCTTTACTGTGGGAGCAACGTTGGCCCACCTAATATGGTGTCCCTGAAAGAGAGGCCAACAAAATTGCCCTGTAAATGCCTGAATTGACGAAATGTTAACACAGGTGGGCATTGGAAGAAAAAAAAGAAAAAAAAAAGTTTCGTCTACGAGTAAAATTAGTGCTCATTTATTTCTTCTTATTATGCCACACGCAATCTGTGTTCTTAAGGTTCAGCTTTTTTTTTCATTTCAAGTTCAGATGATTATTTTTCAAATCCAGGTAATTATCCATTCAGTTATAATTAACATCTTAGCAAAATTCTCTTATATAAAGGTAAAATAATTGTATATTTTAAAACCAAAATGTTCCGTGTTTTTGTGGAAAATATTGATGGTTTAAGACAAAATAAACAATGATGAATGAGAATCAATTCCGGGGGTGGTGATCGGAGTGTGGAGGAGGTGGGGCCACCCAGTTTTTTTTTAAAAAAAAATCTAAATTAATAAAGGCTAGAGTAATGCCTTTTTGTGTTTTTATTTGTCAATAAAGCTCTGTTTTTGTGTTTTAGCTTGCTGAAATCACGTGGTATTTTTACATATCTAAATTTGTTGAATTATCAGATACGGTGAGTAAAATTGCGTTTCTTAATCGTTCTTAATTCGTTAATTAAGTCTTAATCGTTTCTTGACCCATACAGACAAAATTTATTGCCATATTATAGTTAATAGAAATTTTGATTATTTTCCGGACAAATGGAATGCTGAAATTTTAACCGGATCTAAAGGCCTGATGATAATGAAATTTTTAATCGTTTCTTGGCCACTACGAACGGAATTTATCACCATATAGTAGTCAACAGAAATTCTGATTACTTTCTGGATAGCTGGAATGCTGAAATTTTAACTGGAGCTCAATACCTGATAATGATACAAGTCTTAATCGTTTCTTGACCCCTACATACAAAATTTATTGCCATATTACAGTTAATAGAAATTTTCATTATTTTCCGGACAAATGGAATGCTGAAATTTTAACCGGATCTAAAGGCCTGATGATAATGAAATTTTTAATCGTTTCTTGGACACTACGAACGGAATTTATCACCATATAGTAGTCAACAGAAATTCTGATTACTTTCCGGATAGCTGGAATGCTGAAATTTTAACTGGTGCTCAATACATGATGATGATACGAGTCTTAACCCTTTCTTGACCCCTACAGACGGAATTTATTGCCATATTACAGTTAATATGAATTTTGATTATTTTCCGGATAAATTGAATGTTGAAATTTTAACTGGATCTAAAGGACTGATGATAATGCCATTTTTAATCGTTTCCTGGTCACTACGAGCGGAATTTATCACCATATAATAGTCAACAGAAATTTTGATTACTTTTCTGTTAGGTGGAATGTTGAAATTCTTAAATATTGCGAAATGCTTGATGTAATTTTTAATTTTATTCCTGCGAATTAGAATTTTATCGCCAGACTACTGACTATGAGAATTTAATTTCAATCACTTTCATACCAGTTAGGAGTAATGAAAATTGAGCTGGAGCTCTGTGTTGGATGATAAGAGTTTTATTATCTCCTGATTTCTGCAAATAGAATTTATATCAGCATATTATCACAGAATAGAATTCATTATCCATCAAAATTTTATATACTTCCTGACTAACTAGAGTATTTAATTTTAAACTTAACTCAGCATGTGATGCCAATAGAAGTTCTAAATATTATGCGAGTAAACTTTATTGTCTATTTATTGCCAACATATTTCTTAAATTTCGATCACTTTTCATAACAGACATAATACTGAAAAGAAAATAATAAAGTAAAATTTTAAAAATCTACGTTTTACTAGTAGATTAGAAAGAAGAAAATATTTTTAAAAACTTCGATAGCTTTGCACAAAATTTCTCACGTCATTCAAGAGTCATTAGGTTCAGCGAAACTGGATTATTATTTTCGTCTTTTTAGTCTGCTTAAAAAAATGCAGTTTTTAAAGTTCTTGTTTTATTAATTGCATTCAGTTAAAATCGGTTAGTAATTATTAAAACTCTGAGCGGAATGAGAATTGTTTACCGGACTTATAGTACAAGTAAATTTTTGAAAAATGAATACAAAATCTGAGTTTTTTTTTGTTATTGTTTGCAGGTATTTTTCGTGCTTAGAAAAAAGGAGCGACAGCTGTCCAAGTTGCATCTAATCCATCATAGTTCTGTACCTCTAATGATGTACGGATTGCTGAGATCAGAGCCAGGTAAGCTCAAGAGTTTTTTGAAGACGTGCGACTTAATCTTGCGACACACCCTCGAACTCCAAAGCATGTCTCTTTATGAGAGTAGATTATTCCTTTCCTCATACAGATTGGAAAATGTAGTGTGTCTACTCCCAACGTTTTTTTAGTTGTTCCAATATAGAACATTATGCCAGTGTTAAGTATGCCGGGAAAGTGAAGCTCAAAGTGTGCGATTTAAGTATATTATTTATCAAATTATTTTTGTTCTTGTAAATAGTCTTCTGTTATTGATAATAATAAAAAAGTATTAACTAGATGGCCATAACTTAAATTACCTACACAGACGGCATTATTATCTTCTTTTTAGGCAAAGAGTCCTGTTCTTCCTACTCTGACATTTTTCCTGATCTTAATGAGAAATCCATAGCTATCTCAGGGGAAAAAATCTACAAATTACTTGCAAAAAATCTAATAAATATAAGAATTTATAATAAAATAAAAATTGTTACATAACGTAATAAACTCTTAAGAGTCGAGATGCTTTTGAATGCATTCTATTAGAAGAAAAGAAATGTTTTCTTTGAGAGTTCTAAATCCTGCAAAAAATTCTACCTCTTGTCTATGGGCAGAAATACATTCTCTACCTTACTCAATCTGTGGAAGAAAGTTAATAATTAACTATTACAAAATTAAATTATTTTTCTTAAGACACAAAAAGCTATTGAAACCTAAGGAGAATGATTGTTTGGTACTTAATCCACCTTAGTTAAGTATTCAAATGTAACTTACAAACAATTTTACAATCAAATCTTGCCGAGGGAGAAAAATTTACTCAGTAACTAATAGCGCACGTGCCATGAAGAAACAAAATGATCACCTGTACAGCAGATATCAACTACATATACTGAATACAGTAATCTTCTTTTAAGGAGGACAAAAAGTAACAACGGCTAAAATACTCTCAGCTATTGTTTTTTTCCTTCTAACTAAAAAAATACACACGTTAAAAATGTTTATTAGATATCGTAGGTTTTTTCTTAAAAGTACAAATTTAATTCTAACGTAATTTACGCTTCAATAGCTTAAAAAGTTTGGAAACCAATAAAATTTTATCTTGATAAAATATTAATGGTTTTATTTTGTAGCCCAACCAGTTTCATATACACCGAAGAGCCATTACATTATGACCACCCTGCTAATAGTATGTAGGACCACCTTTAGCCCTCAAAACTGCTAGCAGCAGCCGTGGCATTGATTCCACAAGGTGCTGATAGGTAGTCTGAGGTATCTGGTACCAAGCGCTCACTTTATGAATTATACGCTCTGATGAA